AAGACCTCTGAAACAGAGAGTTCAGGAGTTATTCTCAGAATGTGGGAGAAAGTTTCTGATTCTGACAAGTTTCATCCTGAATGTTGTGAGTGATCTTTGCAGTATATTCAGAACAAACAGATCCAGACTCAAACAGTCTGTGGGCTCTATTGAAGGGACTGATGACAAAAAGAGTGGCTCAGTAATGGGAACTCATTTTTCTGAAATATTTATGATGATCAGCCTCTAATCCTGCTCCATAGTACAGGCTCCAGGTTATCAGCTATAAAATACAGACACTGAACCCAACATATCCAGTTAAATGTCATATTAAGGTCTGGAGTTAACATCCCTGATTACATCTTTATGTTTGCAGGCCTCAGTAATTAAGGTTAACTAAAGATTTTCCATTCTAAAACCAAAATGTGGAGAAATGCAACAAAATCTGTATTCAAATACATTTGTTATAAAAATGGTTTCCATCATAGAGGGTTACTGGTTTTAGTTCCTGGGGGAACCAGGACCTTTCTGGGTGGAGTCTGCATGTTCTCCTGTGTCTGTTTGGGTTCTCTCTGGTTCTCCAGCTTCCTCCTGCTGTCCAAAAACGGCATGTGAGGTTAACTGGACCCTCCAAACTTCCTCTATTGTTGACTGTGAGTGTGTGTGGTTGTGTGTCTCTGTGTGTCCCTGTGATGGACTGGAGACCTGTCCAGGGTGGACCCCCCTCTGGCCTGTTGTCAGCTGGGATAGGCTCCTCCCCCCTGTGACCTGATGAATAATCAGGATAGAAAATGGATGGACGGTTTCCATCAGAGAGTTTGTCAGTGATGATTGAACAACATGTTTGTGTTGCAGAGGTCAGAGCCACAGACAGAGAGCAGAGGATCCACAACCCGACTGTGTGTCTGTGAAGAGTGACTGGTCCATGCCTAAACCTCCAGACCTCAGAGATGGACCTGGACCCCCAGACACAAAGTAAGACCTCTGAAACAGAGAGTTCAGGAGTTATTCTCAGAATGTGGGAGAA